AAAAAGTGGCAATAAGTGGCGATTCTAACCATATAGATTTTAAAAAGAATTTAATACTCTACAAATCTCAATAGGTTTCAGAAGTGGACTCCGGTGGACTCACTTTGTTACTGTACTTAAAAATTAGTTTTCTAATTAAAAAACGCGTTTTAGACAACTCACTTTAACACTTAAGTACAAAGACAGCACGATAGATTTCAACCGTTTAAACATACAAACACTTAGTATACACCACCATTCATCGAATTCATATCACAAAAATTTTTTGGAACGCATATAAACTGCTTTTTTAAATGCAATTTAAAAGTCGAATTTCAAAAGCAAGTGGCTTGCATCTTAAGCATCTGATTTAACAGCTGTTATCTTAACAGAAGCGCACTCTATCGGAATTCCTGAAACGTAACATTGCAGATTGGTCTTCTGTTAATATATCCTAAAACAACTTTTTTGGTTTTGACGACTTTTCAAACATAGGTTTTGGCCAACCAAATTGGTCGTTGGCTCCATAGTGCATGGTCAGCAAAAGATTATTATTAGAAAATGATGTACCAAATCTGGCATCCTCGACGACGACATTTTCCAAATCATATGGGACAACATTGTTATTTGATGTGGCCACGTCGCTCTGGCCTTGTGGCATATCGTTGGTATAAGACGCGGTCACACTGTCTAACGGCTGACGCCGATAAACCTCCATTTTCAGCAGTTCGTTTTCTAATTGGAGCGATTCCAAGTGACGCTTCTTTATTTCCAAAGAACGCTCTCGTTGTTTTGTCAAGCAAGCGTCGAAGCCCCGGCTTCATTGTTGTCGTTGCCTCGGTCTGCTGACGAATTGGGCCTTTCCTCGGACCCAACTTCTGCCTCGGAAATGTCCTTGGGATCCAATGTTGGCCAAACTCCACGGGCCTCGTGAGGTACCCCATTCAGGCGCGATGCGAGCGCCGCCTTGTTGCCGCTTTTCTGCATTCCGAGGTTTTCCAACTACCTTCTCACAATTAATCAACAGAAGTCTCTAGAATAAGAAGGTAAGTTAAGATTTGCATCCCAGTTTAGGCTCCTTAAAGCAAAAAGAAGAAAGTTTTTTGTACTGATTAACACCAATATGTATTCCGTATTGTGGACTTCAGACGGGAGACCCATACTCCAGAATCGGACGGACTAGCGAAATAAAAAAAGTTTTAGTTAAATAAGGATCATCGAATTCTTTTGTCTACCTTTTAATAAATCCAGCACTCCTCTGGCTTTATTAACCATGGACGAAATGTGGCTTTAGTTTAGGGTCCAAGAGAACGCCAAGATCGTTTACAAGAGTTATTTTATCCAAAGATCTGTCACTTTCTGTGTAAGTCGCGTATATCAGATTGACCCGATAAAAAGTCATCAGCTTGCACTTGGATGCGTTTAAATTTAGTAAATTATCTCGGCACCAGTTTTGAAAATGATTTAGATCGGATTGTAAGTCTATATGGCAGGAAATGTCCTTATACTGCAGGCACAACTTAACATCATCTGCGTACATAAGTACGCAGGAATGACTTATAATTGGAGGAAGATCATTAATAAATAATGTTAAAAGTAACGGACCCTGATGGCTCCCTTGTGGGACACCGGAGGTAACACGGAGAATTTCAGAAATTAAATGTTTAGTAAGGACCCGCCATTCTGATAACTTGAGATCCATTTAATGAGATTAACTGGAAAACCTAACAGGTCAAGTTTTTGAACAAGAAATAAGTGATTTACAGAGTCAAATGCTTTACTAAAGTCAGTGTAAATGACGTCTGTTTGAAAACTACTTTTGAAGCCTTTTATCACAAATGTAGTGAGCTCTAGAAGGTTTGTGATTGTTTAATAAATCCGTGTTGACACGGAGAAATGATTGATTTACAAAGGTGCTGCAAATGAGGAGTAATAATTATTTCAAAAAGCTTAGGAATAGCTGACAATTTAGAAATACCTCTGTAGTTACTGGCTTCTAACTTGTTACCTTTTTTTCAAAGAGGAATAATAAATGATACCTTCCAAATATTTGGAAATTGGAAAGTTTCTAGAGATAAGGTAAACAACTTGTGAAGAGGTTTGCACAGGGCCTTAGCGCAATACCCAAGCACGCACCCAAGAATACCATCGGGCCCTGGCGAATAAACAGGCTTAATATGAACAAGTTCGAAAAGAAGAGAACTTTCTGTTAAAGTGGGACAGAATATGAGGTTTGACTTGGATATGGTGTAAGAATAAGGCTATGATGAACAATCTAAAGTAAAGTATGTCGTTTGAAAAAAATTGGGCAAAAAAATCGTCTTTTCCCTTATTTAAAGGGCCCCTTTTTTTTAAAAAACAGAGAGGGGGGGAGAGAAAAAAAGAAAAAAAAACTTACAACGGTTTAAGTTACTATTATAACACTGAGCATTAAGCACGGTAAATCTTGACCGAGCACTTAAATATCTAGTTAAAACAGATTGAGAACCGGTATTTTTATATTTCCTAAAAAGTCTGGACTTTACATTTCTTAAGTCAACTTTTTGCTAAACCAAGGTAATTTGTGAGGACGCTTAAAGGCGCCTCTCAAATCTTAACTTATCTCAGCCATTGGAGGCCAAAACTAATCTCAGCCATTGGAGGCCAAAAACCTAATCTCAGCCATTGGAGGCCAAAACCCTAATCTCAGCCATTGGAGGCCATATCTTAGTTATTAGTTATTAGTTATTAAGTTTCTAAAATATATATATTTAAGTCTAAAACCTAAGTAATCCTAGTTTCAAATAGGCGCGCGCGAGGTCACCAGTATTGATCAGCAAGATCAGTCCGCTGGCTAGTCGGGGCGAATGGCCAACAGTATCGATAAGTTATCGCAAATCACCCGTGAATAAGCGCGCGGGCTGTTAAGCGCAAAGCGTGTGACTAAGGACAAGCTTCGTGCTGTTAATAATAAAACGCGTGCTGTAAAGGGAAAAAGCGTGTCGACGTGGAACCGCGATCGACGGAGATCGCCCTCATTCTTTTCCGGCAGCCAAGCAGCGCAGACCACAAGGACCACACCAGCAGCAGAGACTCCCGCGGACGGCAACGCCATATCAAAGGCATAGAGTAAGACAAAAGGCAGAGGTTAGAAACCCAGATACTGAGTGCGAAGGTTAGGGAGAAAGACCAAGTGAATAAAATACATATAAAGTTGTGAAACTCAAACCCCAAGCCTGGCTACTAAAATTTAGTGAACTTCGCTGAGTGTTTTTCCGGGTCGGCTAGGTTACCGTATTGCGTTTCCGAGGTTTATTATCTCTTCGCAACGCGGATACCAAAGCTACCCACGTGCTACTCCAGGTCGGGCAAGTTCTCGTATTGCGTTTCAGAGGTTTATTTTCTCTGCGCAATACGAACGTTTACCAGACTAGAGAAAAGCGCGGGAAACTATCGCCGGCCTTTTCTGCACACGTTCAGGTTAGGGAGAGGCTAATAAGATTTAGTGCATCTCGCGGAGGGGCTTTCGGGTCAGTGAGGCTTCTGAGTTGCGTTTTCTGAGGTTTATTTTCTCTGCGCAACGCGGACGCCAAAGCTGCCCGCGGGCCTATTCACGTCGGACAAGTTACCGTATTGCGCTTCCGAGGCTTTCTCTGTGCGATACGGACGCTTGCCGGACCGGAAAAGCTATCGCCGATCGCCCACGCTCAGGCCCAGTCGAACATCCCTCTCGAGTTAATTTGTGACGGCCCTGTTTTTCGTGTTGCGTTTCCGAGGTTCTTTTCTCTACGCAACACGGACGACGAGGCTGTACGCGTGCTCCTTCGCGTCGGACAAGTCCCCGTATTGCGCTTCCGAGGTTTTCTCTGTGCAATACGGACGCTTGCCGGACCGGAAAAGCTATCGCCGATCGCCCACGCTCAGGCCCAGTCGAACATCCCTCTCGAGTTAATTTGTGACGGCCCTGTTTTTCGTGTTGCGTTTCCGAGGTTCTTTTCTCTACGCAACACGGACGACGAGGCTGTACGCGTGCTCCTTCGCGTCGGACAAGTCCCCGTATTGCGCTTCCGAGGTTTTCTCTGTGCAATACACGGACGCTTGCCGGACCGGAAAAGCTAACCCCGGGTGCTGATTGGTGTCGGCCAGTTGACATTACGCCTCCGAGCGATCTACGCCACGTAGAGGTGGAGACCCAGAGCAGGTGATCCCGTAAACAAAATCCCGGCGGCAACTCCCAGTCCCGTTTCGTCTCCTGTGTTTCTACAAATTTAACTGTAGAGGACTCTGGCCGGACTGAAGTCTATCCCAGCCTAAGAAAAGTCCTTACAGTTTGGCACCAAACAGGGACGACTCAGGGACGACCTAGGTATCCTGTAGGAGTTGGGTTTTCAGTATCAACCGCATGGCTTAAAGACCCATGCCCAGCCGTGGGAAATTTTTTTGATTAGGAACACCCAAGTTCTAAAAAAGCCTAGTTAGAGAGCAAATAGGGGAATCTGTACTGCCACTTACGACAACGCCGATCTACTCCGCAACTGCGCCGCTTACTATGAGCACCCCGAGCGCCTACCCAGCCCGCTCACATCAGGAGCACTCTGGAGTCCATCCGCGCCGTCGCCTGAGCGCCGCCTGCTGAGGGCCCTCCAGCATCCCAGTGGGCCACCTGCGCCGCTTACCGAGAGCACTCCCAGAGGCCGCTCACATCAGGAACGAGTCCAAAGCTCAGCAGAGCCACACCACGAGCAGCCCAGCGATCAGCCGCGCTCGCCTTCGGGAACGACCCTAGAGACCGCTTCGTCGCCCGGCTTGCGCCCCCCAGCAGCGCCACCTACCGTGCCGACTACAGCACGCACCGCGACGAGGAAAACAGTCGCCACGCTCACCGTGGACCCCGGATCACTCGCCGCCAGGAGAGTCGCTCCTGCGCCACCCCCATTCGCTAGTCGGGAGACCCAGCCACTCCCACATCAGCATCCGCGTGACGCCCACTCAGAGGCCCAACAGCAGCGGTCACCCAGCCACACCGTTCACCGGGTCGACCGATGAAAACGAACCGGGAACAGAAAGCGTCGGAGGACGCCGAACAAAAACCCGCTACATCAGCCGCCAGACAGATCGAGGAGGGGAGCTTCTCCGAATCCGACGACGCATCCACGACCCGAGCCATGGGGGTCAGGTGGATTTCCTACCGGCGGAAGGACGAACTCCAAGCTATCCTCAAGGAGTTCGGTTTGAACACCCAGGGCCAGGTGGACGAACTGCGACCCAGGCTTGCATCGTTCATCGGAGGGTCCAACCACAGTCCGGCGCTCCGGGAACGCTTTGCCGCATTGGAGGCCATCTACCCAGAGGCTCCCACATCAAAGGTAGTGACCAACCGGTCCACCTCACCGATGCCCGGCGCAGGGGACACCCTTCTCTCCGTGCCACCTCCAGAACACCGTCACACGAGCCCAGGACGTGGAGTCCAAGGCTCCCACCCCGCTGCCCAATCGCCATCCCAGCACATGTCCGCAGCCGCATTCGCCGAGAAGCTTCGGGGATGGGGCGTCCATTTCGATGGACAAGCCGACCCCCTGCACTTCATGGAACGAGTCGAGGAAGGCGCTACGTCATACAGCGTACGGAACAGCGACATCCCACGAGCCATCGCCGGATTACTGTCGGGCCGCGCCGAAGGCTGGTACCGAGCCTACCAGATGCACGCCGTGCCCTGGGAAACTTTCAAGCGGGAGTTCTTGGAATTTTTTCTACCTCCACGGTACTACCAGCGCCTGGAGGATGCGATCAGGACCCGACACCAACAAGGCGGCGAGCCTTTCAAGTTCTATGTGGTAGAACTACGCCTGATGATGCAGCGGGCAAATTACTCGTTCGAACAGGAGCTCGAAAGGATTTACGAGAATCTGCTACCGGAGTATCACCTCTTCATAAGGCGTCACGAATTCTCCTCGCTGGAAGGGTTGACACAACTAGCCACCGCTTTCGAAATTGCTCGGGACCGAGACCCAGTCCGACAAGCAGCACTAGTTCCACCCGCCAGTGGAAACTACACTACGAGGAGCAGCCCTCCGCCCGGCCCTCGCCGACGAGAGCCCATACGACCAGCGGCGACGCCTTTCGGCACATCGAATCCAGCGATTACAAACCGGATGATTTCCCAGGAGGCCGAAGCACCTGTCGACGTGACCCGAGCCTGTAGTCGCTGCGCTGAGGTGGGACACTTCGTTCGGGAATGCCAGAATCCGCCAGTCCTATACTGCTGGGACTGCGGGAAACGTGGTACTCGCACCATTGACTGCTGCCGGCAGTCGGGAAACAACCGGGGTCCTCGCACACAGGGAGCAGGCGGCGACCCACTCAGCGCTCCCCCATCATTAAATCCACCGCTCCGCTTGACGGGAGGCCGGATCGTCGCCACGGTTACCATCGAGGGGCAACTCTTCGCGGCAACCATCGACACGGGGGCCTCCAGAAGCTTTGTCAGCGAAGCGCTGGCCAACCGGCTCGATTCGGGTCGAAACATCAAAGAGGCTCGCACCCAAATATCCCTGGCGGACGGATCCCCGAAGGAAGTCACCAAGGCCCTGCACGCACAAGTGCGCCTGGACCAACAACATGTCCGCATGACCCTCCTGGTCCTGCCAACGATCTTGGACGAGGTGATCCTCGGGATCGACTTTCTCTGTGGCATCCGGGCAACCCTAATCTGCGGCCAGGTGTGCCTCCAACTAGCTCCGCCCACCACACGAAGAGCCGAACCAGGCCCAGCCACCCGAGCGGCGCCAACAGCGGCGGTCGCCCACCTTTCGGACCCACCGACTCCTACCCGGCGGACAACAAGGACCAACAAGGAGGCCACAACGGGTCCCATACCCGCCCCAAGGCAGCGCATCACCGCGGGACGGAACCCAGCTCCAGTTCCATCGGAACGCTCGCCACCACCGGTTCCTCCCGCCACTACCACGGGAATCACGAAGGCCGATGTCACCGTCAAGGAAGGCAGGTACAGCCTCCAGCCACTACCGGATGCCGCCGTGGCCAAGAAAAGGAGCCCTTTTCGGAGGTATCTCGCGGGTCAGGACCGTTTAGCCAGTACAACAACAGGAACGTCCCCCGACGACCCGGATACGCCACGTTCTTCCCCGGGAAGCCCGATAAGAATCGGGAAGTACCAGCTACTCGCCCAGCCGGATACAAAGGACGCTCAGAGGCGCAATCCGTTCCGGAGGCATTGCCCTCACGGACACCTGGCCACAGTCGCGGAATCCCCGCCGGGATCGCTAGTGTCTGAGGAACCTCTCGACGCAGTAACCCTCCGGTTCCTTCAAGAGGAGCTTAGGTATTTCGACCAGCTGCAAGGAACGACGGATATAGCCGAGCACACCATCACCCTTCGGGGAGATAAACCGCTGAAACAGCGGTATTATCCCAAGAACCCGGCCATGCAGCGTATCATCAACGAGCAGGTGGACGAACTGCTGCAGGATGGACGAATCGAACCCTCTCGAAGTCCGCACAGCGCACCGTTGGTGCTAGTCCGAAAGAAGACGGGGGACATGCGGATGTGCGTTGACTATCGTCAACTCAACGCACACTCCATACCCGACGCGTACCCGCTTCCACGCATCAACCATATCCTGGAACGCCTACGGAATGCCCGGTTCATCTCCACGTTGGACCTTAAAAACGGGTATTGGCAGATTCCCATGGCAGAAGGCAGTCGAGAATGCACCGCATTCACTGTCCCCGGACGTGGACTCTTCCACTGGAAGGTCATGCCGTTTGGGCTCCACTCCGCCCCAGCGACTTTCCAACGAGCTCTGGACAGCGTCATCGGCCCCGATATGGAACCCCACGCCTTCGCCTATTTAGACGACATCATCGTCATCGGGGCAACGTGGGAGGACCATGCGCGCAATCTGAGGGAAGTCTTCCGGCGCCTTCGAGAAGCGAATCTACGCTTAAATCGGGGTAAGTGCAAGTTCTTCCAAAGAAAACTAGTGTATTTGGGTCACCTGATCAGCGGGGAAGGCATCAGGACAGACCCCGACAAAATAGCGGCCATCCAGGGGCTACATCCCCCGACTAATGTCAAGGAACTTCGCCGCCAACTCGGAATCGCATCCTGGTACAGACGTTTTGTCCCAGACTTTGCCTCACTCGTACAACCAATGTCACGACTCCTGAGGAAGGGAGTAAAATGGACCTGGGAAGAACCCCAACAGCAGGCGTTTGATTCGCTTAAGGCTCGACTGACGTCCGCTCCTGTATTGGCCTGCCCAAACTTCGAGTATAAGTTCCAACTTCAGACGGACGCCAGCGACAAAGGACTCGGCGCGGTCCTCACCCAGAATATTGAGGGCGACGAACGGGTAATCGCCTACGTGAGCCGTCGACTCGAGCGGGCGGAGGAAAATTACTCGGCCACTGAAAAGGAGTGCCTCGCCATTGTGTGGGCCACCCGAAAGCTACGTTGCTACCTGGAGGGTTACAAGTTCGACGTTATCACGGATCACCTGGCCCTTAAATGGTTGAACTCCATTAACAACCCCACGGGACGTATAGCACGGTGGGCACTGGAGCTCCAGCAGTACCAGTTCGACGTACTCTACCGGAAGGGCAAATACAACGTGATCGCCGACGCCCTCTCCCGGCAACCACTTGGAAGACTCCAGTTACTCGCAGAACTTAAGTGCCACTGCAAATGGGTACGAAAGATGCAGGAGCAGGTCCAAAGACACCCCGAGAAGTTTCCGGATTACTCCCTGGATAATGGACAGCTCTATAAACGCATAGGGCATCCCGCAGGCATCAGAGTAGGCAACCCCTGGAAGCTGTGCGTGCCGCGAGAACAGCGTCAACGCGTGCTGGGAGAATGCCACGACCACCCCGCCGCCGGACACCTAGGCATCCGGAAGACGCTCAGGAGGATCGCCCAGCGTTACTTCTGGCCTGGACTTCATCGGGACGTGGTACGCTACGTTACTAGCTGTCTGACCTGCCAACAATACAAGGTTAGTCAGTATAAACCAGCCGGCAAGATGCTCACTCGCCGACCTACAGAGCCGTTCGCGCTCGTCGGAGCCGACTTCGTTGGACCCCTTCCCCGGACCCGGCGAGGAAACACCATGCTCTTGGTTTTCATAGATGTATTCTCCAAGTGGGTAGAGCTCATCCCATTGAGGAAAGCCACCTCCGCCCAACTGGAGTTCGGATTCCGAGAAAGGATCCTCTCTCGCTTTGGAGCCCCCAGAAGGTTGATTTGCGACAATGGCACGCAGTTCACCAGCCGAAGCTTCCGGGTGTTCTGCAGGAACAACGGCATTCAACTGGAATACACCGCGCCGTACTCTCCCCAGCAAAATCCGACGGAACGCGCCAACCGCACTATCAAGACCATGATAGCACAATATGTGAACCAGGATCACCGGTCGTGGGACCAGCTACTGCCCGAGATCTCCCTCGCCATCAACACTAGCATCTCAGATAGCACGGGGTTTAGTCCGGCTTACCTAGTACAGGGTCGGGAGCCTAGGTTGCCAGGTGCCCTCTTCGATGCGGTCGCACCCGACTTACAGGCCTCGCCATTGGATCCAACGGAACGAGCCAGAAGGCTTCAAGAAGCGTTCCGCACCGCCCTAGAAACCAACCAGATAGCTTCTCAGGAACAAAGTCGACACTACAACCTGAGGCGACGTGAGTGGCGACCCCAACTAGGCTCACAGGTGCTAGTCCGCCTTCACCATCTGTCCAAAGCCAGCGAGGGCTTTAACGCAAAACTTGCGCCAAAGTACGCGGGCCCGTTTAAGGTGGTGAAATTTCTATCATCAAACGTCGTGCGGCTACAACAGATAGACGGCCGGAAAAGGCGTACAGCTGGCATAGGCGATCTAAAAGAGTATCATCAGCGAGAAGAACAACTAGACGACTCTTCAGAAAGCCCCAGAAGGAGCGATTCGCACCACGCACCTGATGACGTGCTCGTTACACCACTGCAAGGGTAAACATAAGTGGCGTACTCGCCAGCAAGTTATTTTAAGCGGGAAAATTGTATCGAATAGGCTAATTAAAGACAGTTGATCTTCGCACTCAGGTTAGGCAAGTTAGGAAAACGTAGTACTAGACTAACTATTTGGACACCTTTCAGAAAAAAGACAACAGCGTGCAACAAATGGATCCCTATCATGTGGAGGGAGAGTACAGACCCGTCGACCACCGAGGAGGCTCTACGGCCAGCAATAGCGGAGAGTCCCAAGGCGGCGACTCGGTGTTATCCACCCACAGCCCGACTCCACCCCCGTTCAGCCCATGGCAGGGCATGAGATCGCCCGAAGGACCCGCTAGTCTTAATCCACCGGACAACGCCGACTCCGTGTCGACCGAGGTTCGGTCTCCAGACGTCAGCATGGTCATCAGCGGAGACGTGCCGGAAGTGTTTGAGCCCCTACCCGGAGACGACGAGGAGGAGGAGCCAACCACCCCCACGATTGCACGCCTGGCCCGGCTACAGGTGGACGACGAGGACGAGCCCGGGGCATCGACCACCCACATCCTGGTGGGCGCATGGCTGCAAGGTCAGGACCATCACGCCTTCGCTCCTGGACACCTGCAACGATGCCTCTGGGAGGCCCACCGGAGTTCCCCAGCGAGCCCAACGTCCACCGACGACTCGGACGTCGGAGTCGACGGGCGATTTTGGAGGGACCGCCCGCAAGCCCAGGTCGAGCGCGCCATAGCCGAGGCGAACCGGGCCTGGGACGGCTACGCTGGCGACGTCGCACCAGCTCCGGAGGGATCCGAGCCTGAGAGTGGCCTCTGCTCCAGCCAGGGGGACAGCGACGACGACGAGGGAGAGGATGTGCTGGACATCCACGCAAGGGAGGTCGGCCCCGACTTGGCCGTACCCGAGGAGCACGTTCCCGCTATAGCCGAGAACCCGCAGGACCAAACTCCACCCGGAACTCCAGCACGCTCCAACCCCCCGTCCACACCGAGACGCTGCCAAACGGAGTCCCCGCGGACCCCCACCAACGCGGTACGTCCGCGCCTGGAGCTGTCGTCGCCCGCGCTGTCACCCGGCCTCGGACCCTCTCAGCGGGAAGCACCACCCACACCCGGCCGATCCATCCCCCATGCGGTCATGGACCTGTTCCTAAGACCCTCGACGCAGGCGCCGTCCCAAAGCGGAGACGAGGAGCTGGACCTGCAGCTGTTCCTCACCGGCGGAGAGCAACATGAGGTGCTTCAGGCCCTCCAGGAGGACCCAGCAGAGGACCCAGTCAGGGGTGACGCCCACTGGATCGAGGCCCCAGCGGACTGGAGGGTAGACACCCCGGATCGCCGTCTGCCCCCATCCTCGTCGCGTCCATTCAGGCCCAGGATCGTCGACGCGTTCGGTATCTACGCCACTTCGACGGGGCCAAATTCCGGATCAGCGTGACCGCACGAGGCGAAGTCTCCGTGACCCTCCGCCCGTCTCAATAACCACCCCGAAGTAAAGGGGGGGTGTGAGGACGCTTAAAGGCGCCTCTCAAATCTTAACTTATCTCAGCCATTGGAGGCCAAAACTAATCTCAGCCATTGGAGGCCAAAAACCTAATCTCAGCCATTGAGGCCAAAACCCTAATCTCAGCCATTGGAGGCCATATCTTAGTTATTAGTTATTAGTTATTAAGTTTCTAAAATATATATATTTAAGTCTAAAACCTAAGTAATCCTAGTTTCAAATAGGCGCGCGCGAGGTCACCAGTATTGATCAGCAAGATCAGTCCGCTGGCTAGTCGGGGCGAATGGCCAACAGTATCGATAAGTTATCGCAAATCACCCGTGAATAAGCGCGCGGGCTGTTAAGCGCAAAGCGTGTGACTAAGGACAAGCTTCGTGCTGTTAATAATAAAACGCGTGCTGTAAAGGGAAAAAGCGTGTCGACGTGGAACCGCGATCGACGGAGATCGCCCTCATTCTTTTCCGGCAGCCAAGCAGCGCAGACCACAAGGACCACACCAGCAGCAGAGACTCCCGCGGACGGCAACGCCATATCAAAGGCATAGAGTAAGACAAAAGGCAGAGGTTAGAAACCCAGATACTGAGTGCGAAGGTTAGGGAGAAAGACCAAGTGAATAAAATACATATAAAGTTGTGAAACTCAAACCCCAAGCCTGGCTACTAAAATTTAGTGAACTTCGCTGAGTGTTTTTCCGGGTCGGCTAGGTTACCGTATTGCGTTTCCGAGGTTTATTATCTCTTCGCAACGCGGATACCAAAGCTACCCACGTGCTACTCCAGGTCGGGCAAGTTCTCGTATTGCGTTTCAGAGGTTTATTTTCTCTGCGCAATACGAACGTTTACCAGACTAGAGAAAAGCGCGGGAAACTATCGCCGGCCTTTTCTGCACACGTTCAGGTTAGGGAGAGGCTAATAAGATTTAGTGCATCTCGCGGAGGGGCTTTCGGGTCAGTGAGGCTTCTGAGTTGCGTTTTCTGAGGTTTATTTTCTCTGCGCAACGCGGACGCCAAAGCTGCCCGCGGGCCTATTCACGTCGGACAAGTTACCGTATTGCGCTTCCGAGGCTTTCTCTGTGCGATACGGACGCTTGCCGGACCGGAAAAGCTATCGCCGATCGCCCACGCTCAGGCCCAGTCGAACATCCCTCTCGAGTTAATTTGTGACGGCCTGTTTTTCGTGTTGCGTTTCCGAGGTTCTTTTCTCTACGCAACACGGACGACGAGGCTGTACGCGTGCTCCTTCGCGTCGGACAAGTCCCCGTATTGCGCTTCCGAGGTTTTCTCTGTGCAATACGGACGCTTGCCGGACCGGAAAAGCTATCGCCGATCGCCCACGCTCAGGCCCAGTCGAACATCCCTCTCGAGTTAATTTGTGACGGCCCTGTTTTTCGTGTTGCGTTTCCGAGGTTCTTTTCTCTACGCAACACGGACGACGAGGCTGTACGCGTGCTCCTTCGCGTCGGACAAGTCCCCGTATTGCGCTTCCGAGGTTTTCTCTGTGCAATACGGACGCTTGCCGGACCGGAAAAGCTAACCCCGGGTGCTGATTGGTGTCGGCCAGTTGACATTACGCCTCCGAGCGATCTACGCCACGTAGAGGTGGAGACCCAGAGCAGGTGATCCCGTAAACAAAATCCCGGCGGCAACTCCCAGTCCCGTTTCGTCTCCTGTGTTTCTACAAATTTAACTGTAGAGGACTCTGGCCGGACTGAAGTCTATCCCAGCCTAAGAAAAGTCCTTACAAATTTATTGGAAGTTGACGAATAGTACCACGGAACACAGGAACTCAAAAATGAGTTTATTGCAGTGTAAAAAACATTAACTGCATTAGACATATTATTTCATAAGTAAAGATCAGACCAATTAAAGCCAGAAATAAAATTATTAAGCCTCGGAAACTCTGCCTTGCGAAAACAATGTATTCGTTTAGATGATTTTTCTGCCTTTTTCTTCTATAACTCTACCCGTGTCAAATGAAAGTTCGATTGTTGGGTGATAAGGATCTTTAGGTTGCGTGAGTGGTGCTACTCTGGACAGAAACACACCTTTAGGATTTGATACAAAACACAAATAAAGTAGGCGACCTAGTGAATTTCGAACATGGTTTACTTGAGATAAGGATATGTCAAGCAGGCCCTCAATAAAATCATGCTGTGCCAAAAGTAGTAAGACATTCGATCCATCTTCAGTGGACCTGGTAACTCCAGGTATAATAAAATCTCCTAGAACTACCAACTGATCCCTATCGGAAAGCTTATTTGCAACAGACTTTATAACGAAAAGGTGATTTAAATAATCAGGAGGTTCAGACAACGGCGGATTATATGGGCACGTTATATATATAGAGCTACCAGGAAGCGATGACTTTACACAAATAAATTCATAAAAAAAACTCTTCGGACGGGAGGTTTGAATCAACTCCATTTAAGACTCCACCTCCCCGTCTAGAAACGGTCATACCTATATAATATGTACTTACGTGAAAAAACTTCGGAGCTAAAGATCTCCGGCAGGTTTCTGTAAACACAATAATATGAGATGCAAAGGAAAGGCTTTCGGAATAAAATTTAGTGAGTTTTCTACGCTAACCTCTTGCATTCTGATAGGAAAGAAGTTAGAAGTTAGTTTTTTGAAATTGGTACACTGGTTTGGCCTCGACTAGGAAATTTTACTCCCAAGGGCCCCTTCTTCGTTATCTTAGCCTCGAACTCTTTTACAACCATATTATCCGGCCAAAAGTCGCCCGAGTATATGGCTTCAAAAAGCTCGTTAGGGACAGTTATCTTGAACGATAAAATGTCTCTAGCATAAGAAAACTTCAACTTTTTTCAACTTTTTTTAGTGGAACCCCTGAAAGGGATTTTGGTGAAGCAGGCATTGTTTCTCGAAAACCATGAACGATTTCATCTCGTTCGCAACCTTGACACAAGCGTCACAACAGAACTGCAAATTGGGCCCCATTGAAAGGTTTTCACTTGTCCGTCTAGTAAAACCAGCGCATTATGTATGCACCATGTTTTCAGACAGCCAGCAAGTCATGTTAGACTGGTCAGCCCTAATTACGAAGCATCATATTGTTTTGATAAAACCCACCGATAAACGAAACAAAAATACAAAATCGGAGCGCAGAAAAAAAACACGACCGTTCATGTTGAAAGTCAAAGAAACGTTTAGCAGGTCCCAGGACAGTCACAAAGCCCACTGGAAGCTATGATGGTTACAATGCAACGAAGTATGATGGAATTTATGTCCTTCATGAAAACGACCATGCAAACACTGGTTCAAAACCAGAACATGGTGTTACAATCGCTTGCAGCAAAGCAGTCCAAATATTTAATTGAAAATCTACGAGTAACCACGTGGAACGTCAATGGCGTTTCCGGCACAAACATGAAATAACACAGTTCCTGAATGAAAATCATATCGATATTATGCCACTGATAGAGACGCACCTCACAAACAAATACAATTTCCAAATAAGAGGCTACACCTTTTACCGCATTTAGACGGTAAAGCCCACGGCGGAATCGGCATCCTAATCAGGGTACGCATCAAACACCACTTTCACGAAAGGTTTGCAACTAATTACTTCAGGCCACGTCTATCAAAGTCCAGTCAGATGCGAACCCCTTTCCGCTGGAGTCACGCAAGGAAGCGCCTACTCTGTTCATCTTATATACAGCGGATATTACTACAACCGAGCAGCTAACAACATCTACGTTCGCTGACGACACTGCAATCCTAATTCGCTCGAGGAGCCCAAGCTGAGCAACAACACAACAGCCAGGCACCTCATCGTAGTTGAGAGGGGGCTATATGATTGTCGTATTAAAATAAATGAACAAAAATGTAAACACATAACGTTTACTCTCAACAGGCAAACATGCCCTCACTTTCAATAGTATGCCGATTCCCCAAATCAACGAAGTAACGTATCTCGGCGTCGAATGCAAGAAACTATGTACATCTAAAACTAAAAGCCAGCAGCTTCCACTGGATATTAAACATTCGATCGCCCTTGCGTCTGAACTACAATATGGCTCCCAGCTATGGGGGAACGCGAGCAGCAGCATCATTGACATCATACAGCGCGCACAATCGAAAATCCTGAGGACTATCACTGGTACACCCTGGTTTATTCGCAACGAAAATATCCACAGAGACCTAGGCATTCTTGCAGTAAAGGAAGCAATAGACAAACAAAAGTCGACCTACAAAGAAAAACTCTTCGTACACCCAAATCATCTCGCAAAACACTTGGTCGGGTTTCCAGCAGAGCCCGCCCACAACGCAACGACCTTCCAAGCCAGCAATAATTATCAGGGCCGCATTACTTAGTACCAGTCATATGACTGTTAGTTAGATTACTTAAAGATTTGATACACTTATTGTTAGTATCCGAAAGAAGAAGATTCAATAGATAGCAAAGCATAATAAAAAAAATATATAATTATAATAAATATAATTGTTGAACATATATTTTTTAGGTTAATCAACAGATGTACCAGGTCTAAGACATCGCTGATAAATAAAATCTTTTAAAATCAAATATTCTTTAAGGGTAACATATTTATATTGTGTAACAATTTCATGTAATAGCCCAATTCCACCCCCACATATTTTCGCATTCTACCCAACGCACATTATTTCACACTGGGGCTTCCTTAAGAAAATTGTGGTTATTAAATAATTAATATCCTCTTCCCACAGAGTCCATCCGTTGGAAACTGTTGACATTTTTGACAAATGTGAATCTCCGATTCCAGCACATCCATGATCTGAATAGCTTTGTTTTTAGTTTTATTATAATTTCATATTTTATTTTATTTTTAATGTCAAGGATGGCAGACAGCCAAGCTCAATTCAATGACATGATCTCGCTTTGCGCTCACTGCTCCTTCAGCCTTTCTGCTAGAGCGCTATATCTTGTAGATCTTGGCCTTGTGGTCCACCTTACCGGGCTTTGCAGGGGGCGCACAGCTGCCTGAGCGTTGACTTCCGTTGCAGAGGCTTCCATGTCATCCACATCTAAGACCTTCACAAAGTATTCCCTTCCATTAGGGATGGACCATATTCATGTACTGTAGTATCGACTGTAAAATTAAAAACAATGAATTATGACAAATATAAATAGCATTTATTGCTCATACCTTTTGCTTTGGCGCCTTCCATTTTCAAAAGTTCCCCGTCATCATTGTTTACGTTTTTGTACTGAATGTTTCAGTTTTCACTGTCAAGAAAAAGAACTCAGAGTTGCACCAAAAAAAAATATCGCCTAACTATCACAAAAAAGAGTCCGTCAAATTTGGATGGGGAGCTAACTAGGAAATTTTCGGAACCTTATGGACCATGAACGGATGGCGGATGGATTTCTGTGGGAAGACGATTTAACATTCTTATACACCATTACTTACCAATATTTCGTCTTTGGCTTATTATATGCAAAGTACGCGATGTTTTGTATTGCTTTTCAATATATTTTCAGGCCAGTGAAACCAAGCGCAAGCGCTGCATTTCTTAGTCGCAGAACCACAATACATAACTGATAAACCTCTGGCAAGAATACATTTCGGCTTTAATTTTAAGTTTTAAATTAGTTTTGCTTGGATTCGTGACAATTCAAGCAAAACAGAGATCACCTGTTCATGCCAATCACATGACGGCGTAAAATGTATATAAAAATAGTGGTCAATGGAATCAAACCCATTCAAAATTTAAAAAATGTAGTAATAAAATACGGTTTAAAAAAGATTGGTGATTTTTTGGGTGGACATACGAATTTTTGTTTGCATTTGGTTGAAATTTAGCTATTTTAAAGTGAAAATGGTTGGAAGACACCCCGGATATTAAACAGTTTGGGACGTATTGATTAAAGAAAAATAAATACACATTTTAAAATTTTGTATTTAAGAAAAAATACAGAGCACAAGTGAAACTGCGGTTGCTTTAACTAGTTTTCATTAATAACTTTATCTCTTTCAGATGCAGTCCCTATTGAACTACAGTTTGCAATCTACGTCGTTGATACCGCATTTTAATTATGGTCACAACCAAAACTATTTTGACGGTTTAAATTACTTTCAAAAATATTCGTCAAATCAATTATCTGAAATGGACTCGTACTTAAAAGCCAATGTATTTGCAGCGTCGAATTTTGGTACAAACTCAATCTTTACGTCTGCACTGAACGTCTCTAATAAGGGTAGCCCCTTAAGTGTTCCGCAGTTACTTCATAATCAACACGTGGGTCCAGCAGCAGCAATTTCTAGTGACGTAATTTCCGCACTCGAACAGTATAAGCATTTGCTAAAAACTCCACTTAATAGTCTTAATTCAAATCATAACTTCGGAATAACAAATGAAAGCACCCCAGAACGTGTAGAAACTTGTTTATCAGGGATAAATATAAATAGTGGCGACGATTATTTGTTTGAAAACCAACGAGCACATCATGAACCTGATTTTATTCAACATTCGGATTCCTTTGGTACTGCTAGGTCGACTGCACATTTGAAACGTTCCACTACTACGTTAAATAAACGTGCAATTAATAATAATAATAATATGCAATTATCCTCGCATAACGAAATTAATATAATACCCAATAGAGCGTTCCGGGAAAATGACATTATGAAGATGGGTACTAAAAATAGCGTCAGTATGGAAAATATTCCGACAACAAACTTGCCTGGGACTAATCATATTTCTAAACAACATAACGAAATCACTCCTGGTATTGACTCAACATCTGTCAGTAGTATATGCAATAATGATAACAATTTTATGGTTCATAATCAAACAAGTATGGTTGAATTAATTACACCAAATAATCAAAATAGTAAATTACTACATAATAAATCGCAATGCTTAAGTTCAGTGTGTTCTGATGTTCAAAAATTAAACACTACTTCAAAGTTGCTAAAGTCAAATCAAAAAAAAAATAGAGCTTGTCCCTCTGATTATAATCTGGAAATATCCCTAAGTGGATGGATGAAAAGATCCAGATCTAAGCATAACTCAGGAGACAAAGCCAAATTATGCAACGAAAATATAGGATCAGCGCCAGTTGCAGTAAAGATGCAAAATACGGAGCGAAATATATACAATCAGGATCTTAAACCTCAACAAAAGGGCTATGGAAATGATTGTTTGTTTGATGAGAATTCACATTCACTACGGTAAGAAAAATATATAATAAAAACCCATCCCGACCTTGCCCATATATATTACAATAGGTACAAAATCGAAATCTTGCCTCTTTTTATAGACTTGCAGGGGTTTTTCTTTTTTTTTTAAAGAATATTCCTGATCAGGATCACAAGTTTAAGGAATGTACCGAAAAGAAACAACACACTTTTTAGCGCCAATTTCTCGAAAAGCGATCTTTCGATCGTGCTGGGAAATGTAGCGTTTGAAAGCTTTATAAATTCTGCGTTGTTTACATATTTTATTATTATTTATATTTACAATTTCGACAATGCCTAGAATTGAAGAGCAAGTTCTCAAAAAAATTGTGCACAATTACTGCACCGGAAAAGGTGTGTCGTACAGACAGTTAGCTAAACGCTGAAAAGTTAGTGTTAATAGTTGTTGGGTCAGTAAGCTTTTTCACTAACTACCTTTGGTGGTGCCCAAATAAAATGAAACCGCAGAAATTTGAAATTAATTATGCACTAAGTTTATTCTAAATGGCACCAATGTCATGTCCCGATGTCGAAAGACCAGGGCTTTCAACCAGATCTTGCTTCGGCAGCACACACAACTTGCGGACAGCTCTGGTGGTTCCAGTTCATGTTCGTATCACTGCCACACGAGCAACTCCATCAGGTCCAGGCATCAATTCTATGACCCTGGTAAATGGCCATTTAAGAGGAGGCAAGTTCTCGTTTTGAACCAGGACGACATCGTTGATTTGTAGCGCAGGTTTGGAGATGCGCCACTTTGACCGTTTCTGCAACAAGGTCAGATACTCTTCACGCCACCGTGACCAGAAGATTTGTTCAAAATAAGCAATTCTCGGCCAGCGGTCCAAACGGTTGAAGTTCAGCTTTGTGACGTCAGGCTCAGAGTACAGCACCAGCGCAAATGTGCCAATAAAGTGTGCAGGAGTTAGCACTTCAAACGCTTCAAACGTTTACGCAATTCATCGAACTATAATAAAGATGGGCCAACAGAACGATATAAATGAAATTTTACAGCAGCCTCCCAGAGGCCTCTAAAGTGAGGCGAACGAGGAGGAAATAAAACGCCACTCAATTGAATCTTCCAGGCAGAATTCCTATATAGCTCGAATGTGGGGGCCAGAAATTCTGCAGCTCAGCCAGGTCGTTTTTAGCTCCAACGAAGTTCGTAGCATTATCTGACCATAGCCGGGCAGGCTTATCTCTGGTGTGAATAAACCGCTCCAATGCTCCCAAGAACGCTTGTGTTGAAAGATCCTGACCAACCATGAACGTTGATGTTGCATTTAAACGATCCTTAGGTAGGTCAGCCATTAAATGTTAAGAAAATTGTGGTTTAGCTCGGGAGCATATGACGGCCACCTATCGGCCAAAATTAAAGACGCATGTTAGCGAGCAGCGCTCGCGGACCAGAATGCAAGTTTTTTCAAGGCAAGTCCAGTGTAATAGCACGTGTAACTGGATGCTGGCGTGGTAGTATGACAGGATGCTGCGCATTGTAATCCAAATTTTGTAGTCTGCCACCAACTCACATCAGACCAAAGTTATCGATGAATGGAGAAAGTGAGGGCAACGGGCAGGACGATTTAATTTTGCCGCTTAGAATGCAGCCTCCAGTAGTTATTAGCCAGTTTGCTCATTTGGATACTTTTGATAAGCATCTGAGTGCCCATTTTAACATCTTCGACGTCGAGACCGAACGTCTTATGCGGTGAACAAATTTGTATAAGAATTCAAAAGTGTGGCAATAAAATGGGCAATCGAAGAGATTCATGTTGCGTACCTCCCGCGTCAGTTGAGCCAGTAATAAAGCAGTGCACAACTCTAATTTGGATACCGTGAGAGTCTTCGAAAGTGCCACACGAGATTTTGAGCAAAATAGATGCACTTTTCGTTTGCCATCAGCTATTGAAACGAGATCGATTCATCCTCCATTTGCGTCGATGTTAGCGTCACGGAATCCGTGGATCTCCATAGCACTATTTGGATGCAATGCACATCGAGGAAACTTGATTTGCTCAGTACGGCCCATGTAAGATGGCAACTTCAGCCATGATGTGTTGACTGACTCAGGAAAGCTCTCATCCCACTCCAGCTTCTCTCTCCAAACTTGTTGCTGGAAGATATTGGCCTTGGCAACCACAGGACCAATGAGACCAAGCAGATCGTACTCCCGAGCAATTGTGGAAAGCACCAGTCGTTTACATGGCTTTGGAGAGACCTGTATGGGAGAAAAAGTAAAAAGATAGACATCCGCTGCAGAGTCCCAAGCAAGACCCAGTGTCTTGGTAAAGTCGCTGCCATGGTCAAACTTCAGGAATGTTTATTTTCCCTGGTCAGGAATTGGATCAAGGACACCACGCTCGTTGGAACACCACATCCTGAGCTTAAGGCCACCTCGTGCAAGCAAGTTTGTTGTTTGAGACGTGATTACAAGGACTTCCTGTGTTGATTGGCCTCCTGTGATCAGATCTTCAACGTGTAACAAACTGATTTTGTTTGCCTGCTCGCTACGAATGTCGTGCGACTAGCTCAGAAGATGTGTGTTGTTCGTCCCACCAAGTTTATATAAACGTGACCGTCCAACTGTTTAGTGATAACTCAAAAAATGTTAGGAGGATCTCACTAGACTACTGGACTTTCAAAGTGAACGGTCGTGTTTTTTTTCTGCGCTTCGAATTTTGTATTTTGTTTCGTTTATTCCCATCGGTGGGTTTTATCAAAAAAATTTTAATTTTCTTCCGGTTATTCAAACATAAATTTAAACTCCGTTCGCTTCGCGAGTGCACTTGTAATATTACTGATAAATTGTTTTAGTTTTCGTAATTCTTATCTGTGTTTTCTTTTCTTTTATCCCCGCCGTTTCTCTTTTGTGCATGCACTTTAACTAAATTACGCTCCCGCTCTTTTGTTCTCTTTGCTTTGAAAGTTCTAAGCGTGCAGTTTCTGCGCCTTTGCGGTACTTATAACTGCTCGCTTATAAATTCAATTCGTTTTCTTGGTACAGTGGCTCCAATAAATAAAATGAATAATAAAAATTTAGTCTGCTTCTGCAAAAAATGCAGCCTCGTAATCAGGGCTGACCAGTCTAATATGACTTGCTGGCTGTGTGAAAATATGGTGCACACCAAGTGCGCCGGTTTTACTGGCCGGACAAGTGATGACCTCTCAAAGGGGCCCAATTTGCAGTTTTGTTGTGACGCTTAAGTCGAGGTTGCGAACGAGATGAAATCGTTTATGCGCCAAACTAAAGGCGGCCTGATGGGGCTTATTAGCTGTTTCTGAGTTGCTAGAGATAGTTTTCGCCGAGCTGATGATCTCCTCTCTGCGCTGGACTCGCAGTTTAATAGTCGTAAGCTATTAAGCGCAAAAAGGCCGCTGGTGGTAAGGAGCAAAAGGGGAACACCCCGCAACCGAAATCAAAAGAACAACAGAGCATTCCGGCGGATCAGCAGCTGATTTCAGCAAACCCTCAAATGTTGCTAAGATCAGCAGCTAAAAAAGATTCGGTATCCGAACAATCCGTAACAGAATGCATGCAACCAGGGACTTCTAAGAATTCCGATTTGTCCGTAGTGGTTTCACAATTAGTGGATCCACCTATCTCTCAGAATGTAGCATCACCACCACAAGGGAAGGTTTTGCAGAAACAATGTCTGCTCCACCAAAATCCCTTTCAGTGGTTCCACTAAAGAAACAAATTTTCGTTTCTCGGCTTTCCCCTGATCAAACATCTTCTGATGTATTGTCTTATATACAAGATAAAAACTAAAGATGATTGTAATAGTGTAAAGGTGGAAAAGTTTAAGTTTTCTTATGCTAGAGACATTTCATCTTTCAAGATAACTGTCCCTAACGAGCTTTTTGAAGCCATATGCTCGGGCGACTTTTGGCCGGATAATATGGTTGTAAAATAATTCGAGGCTATGATAAAGAAGAAGGGGTCCGTGGGAGTCAAACTTCCTAGTCGAGGCCAAACCAGTGTACCAATTTCAACTTCAAAAACTAACTCTAACCTCCTTCTTTCCTATCAGAATGCAAAAGGCTTGCGTAGCAAGCTCACTAAATTGTATTCTGTTAGCCTTTCCTTTGCATCTCACATTATTGTGTTTACAGAAACCTGGTTAAAGCCGGAGATCTTTAGCTCCGAAGTTTTTCCAGGTAAGTACACCATATATAGGTATGACCGTCCCTCTAGACGGGGAGGTGGAGTCTTAATTGGAGTTGATTCAAACCTCCCGTCTGAGGAGTTTTTTTTTGGTGAATTCAATACCATTGAATTTATTTGTGTAAAGTTATCTCTTCCTGGTAACTTATATACATAACTTGCTCATATTTAAATCATTTTTCCGTTATTAAGTCCGTTGCAAATAAGCTTTCCGATAGGGATCTAAATCTGTCCCGGCCGGTCACACCAGACGCCAACACAGTTTCTACATGACGGTTCAGGCAGGACGCTAGGTTCACGACGAACGCTTCCGCCCTCGCCTCTTAGCCGTAGACTGAATACGTTGGAGTATGGCTGGCTCGCTGCTGGGTCTGCGTTGACCGCTTGTCGTTTTTCGTGTCTCCGATGTCCTTGCTCTACTCACGCCGCGATATCCTGGCTCTGCTGTATTCGTGCTCTTGCAGGACTAGGTGCAGCGGGTTCTTTGGCTCTCGGGATTCGGTCAGCTGCCTTAGTAGGACTCTGGCGGTGAAATACTGTGCTCTTGACGCATACGCCCCTCGAGACACCAGTGGTTCGGACGCGCGTCCTTCTGGGTCAGTCGCAACAGGGCCTTCACAATTCTCACCTGACGATTCAGGCGTACTCCGGAATTCGTTAAGGCAATCCTTTTCGCACGGCAGCTGGTTCTAGACAACTTCCCTTCCGATTCCACGGTTCTTTGTCGAAAGACTCTTTTTGTTCACTCTGCCTGTACTTAGCCGCGTGATGCCTTAAGGACCTCAGCTACCTGTTTCTCAGTTCGGAGACTTCAACTCTAAGTCCCGAA